TCACAACTGTCTAATCTCAGTTCATCAAAAAACAAAACAGTACTGTCGGGGTCTGGGGATTTAGCTCAGTGGCATAAGTGCCTGCCTTGAAAGCAGGCAGTCATGAGTTTGATCCCTGGTACCAATAAAAACAAAACAAAACAAAAAAACAGTACTGTCACTGTTTGATTACTTTTGTGTCTAGATTTTGTAAGTTGTACAATTTCTAAGACAATATGCAATATATTAAGTAGTGTTAATTCCCTACCTTTTTTTGAAATTCAATATCATTTCTATCTTTTTTGTTTTGATTTGTTTTGTTTAAAAAACTTTTTTAAAAATCACCCTCTTAAAAAAAAAAAAAAAAACAACAAAAAAACCCCCACTACAGTACAATATAAAAGCTATACAGCCAGACATGGCAGCGAATGCCTGTAACCTCAGCACTTGGGAAGCTGAGGCAGGAGGATCACTGCCTTGGGAGGCTGAGGCAGGAGGATCACTCACTGCAAGGTGAGTTTGAGGTCAGTCTGAACTACATAGTGAGCCCTTGTTTCAAAATAAGTTAATACCTGTGCTCCCTTTCAACACGACAAATTTCACAATCAGTTTTTTTTTCTTTTCTAAAAGTCTCTCTAGTGGTGATTAATCTTAGACAGGGCTGGGGATTTAGTCTGGTGGCATACACACCTGCCTAGCAAGTACAAAGTTGTGAGTTCAAACCCCAGTAACAACAACAACAACAACAACAACAACAAAACCTTAGACAATATCCCACATTCTGTGCACACAAAATTCCTTTGCCACTTGTAGCCAGCATGAATTGGAGCCAGGTGTGGTGGCACATGCCTGTAATCATGGTACTCAGGAGGCTGAGGCAGGAAGAGTGCTGCGATATCAATGCCAGCCTGAAATATACAGCAAGAAAAAAAAAAAAAAAAGCAAAAAAGAACTGGAAAAGCAAAGAGTCAAGGACAGACTTAAGGTCTACAAGACAGTGGGGGAGGAGACACAGCAGAAGCTCTGAGAGCCAGGATTTGGGTTCTGCAACCCAGCGTAGGAAAGAGCACCTGCTTCATGTGGAGGTCGGTGATTCCCCTCCCCTCTCCCAGGAAGAGGTGACTGACGCTGCTGTCCCTGTGACTCAACTCCCCACAAAGCACCGCCTTAGGAAGGGGCCTGGTGAGGACCGTGAGAAGTAGGGGGTGAAGGCCGACTGCCCTGAGCCAGACAGCGGGAAGGGGCCAACTGCGGGACCTCCCAGCCCTCAGGACGGCCCCAAGGGCTCCCTGGGCGCTGAGAGAGGTCACAGGCACTGAAGCTCTGCCTCCTGGGAGATTGGTGGCCTCCTCAGTTCCCAGCAGGCAAGGAGGGGCGGAGCCAGGCCGCCAAATAACTGGCTCCTCTCGGGGTGATGGAGAGCGCTGGGTTACTCCACGGCCAGTACTGTGATTCACGCAGTGCGCATAGCTCTTAGTGCAGTGACATCTAACCCACTTTCGGAATATACGTTCTTCCACGTTCCCTGTTGCCCTGTGATCCCCCCAGTTGCTGCCTTCCCAGCATGTACCTCAACTCCTTTTACAGTTTCCACTGAAAATGTAAGCAAGAAGCAGTAACAATAGTCCTGTTTCCGAAGTTCATTTTCTGATCGTATAAAATGTAACTCTGCAATTCAGCCCTGTGGTTCTGTCCTTTCAGATTGTTAGAAAATAAACAAACTGGGTGCAGTGGTGCACACCAGTAACCCTGCACTCTGGGAGACCCAGGCAGCAGAATGGCCAAATCTGGGAAATTTACTAAAACTACATCTCAAAAATAGATGATGGATGGGATGTAGCTCAGTGCAGTGCCTCTGGCTCAATCACTAGTACTGGGAAAATGAAAACTGAAACTGAAGCACAAAAATCTTTAAAGAGTTTATTTGAACAAAATTCATGAATTAGAAATGAGTGTGGGAGTGCGTGCCTGTAATCCCAGCACTCAGGATTCTGAGGCAGGAGAATTGCTGGGAGTTCAAGGCTAGCTCCAGCTGCATACTGAGTTCAAGGCCAGCCTGAACTATATGGCCAGACCCTGTCTCAAAAAACAAAACCCCAGCCAGGCATGGTGGCTCACATCGGTAATCCCAGCAGTTGGGAAGCTGAGGCAGGAGGATCGTTGGGAGTTTGAGACCAGCCTGGGCTACAAAGTGAGCTCAAGGCCTGCCCAAACTGCATAGAGAGAACCTGTCTCAAAAAGACCAAAACAAAACAAAACAAAACCAAAACCCAAAAAAACAAAGGAAACAAAATTCATGACTTAAATAACTCCAAACCAGAAGGGGTCCTGGAGATCTAATGCAGGAATGCAAGATAGAGGCTTTTATTAAACACAAAAGTAGAGCAAAGAAAATATTTTAGCAGTTTTACAACTAAACAACCCCCTTAGTCAATCTCATGGGAAAGTCCATAGTTATATAAATTTTTGGCTACTTCTGCTTGGTTGAAGTCAAGTTCTGTTTTTACTTATTACAAATATTTACAGGAAATATTCCGTGTTAAACTTTGCATGTGTTTGCAAATTGAGCCAGGCTGAAGTCATCTACAAAACCTCAGTGTTTTTGTCTTCTCACGGATTCTTCAGGCCTAGTCTCCACTTTAATCTACATTAACATGTATCTAGCTTAAAAATGATGTACTTGGGACTGGGGATTTAGCTCAGCGGCATAAGTGCCTGCCTTGCAAGCAGGCAGTCTTGAGTTTGATCCCTGGTACCAATAAAAAGGAAAAAGACAAAAAACAAAACAAAACATGATGTACTCATCTAAATGATGATTTTGCCAATCCCACATCATTCTTGGTCTTGCCTTTACTTCTTCTCTTTCAGAGATGAATTTTCTGACACATTGAAATTATGTAGTGAAAAAAAATCAGCTAATAAGATGTGCTAACCTTCCTGCATGCATAATGTAAATGCTTCTCCAGGAGTCAATCAACAAAGGAGATTAGTGAGACAGAAAAATAACTTTCCAAATTTGTTGGATGCTAATGACGGCCACCAAGCCATAACTCCTAAAGTAGCAAAAAGCAACAGGGGGGCTGGGATTTAGCTCAGCGGCATAAGCGCCTGCCTTTCAAGTGTGCAGTTGTGAGTTCATTCCCAGTACCAAAAAAAAAAAAAAAAAAAAAAAGCAACAGGAATTTTATCCAGCGTTACACAGTAGCATATTATTCAGTCTCAGAAAGGAAGGAAACTGGGTGTGCTGGTGCACGCCTATAATCCCAGCATTTGGAAGGCTGAGGCAAGAGGCTCCTTGAGGACAGCCAGGACTACATAGTGAATTCGAGGCCAACATGGACTACACAGTGAAACCCCTTCTCAAAAAACAAACAAACAAAAAATGGCAAAGATAGAAAGTACATCTCACAGTGAGTGTGTGTATTTGCCATGTACAAGACTCTGGGTTCAGTCCTCTGCACGTGTGCATACACTCACATGAGTGTACACACACACACACAAGGAAGGAAGGAAAAAAGAAAATTCTAGCATAAGCTACAATATGAATGAAACCTAAGGACAAATACTTATACAAAATAAAATAAGTCAGAAAGGACAAATGATGCATGATCCAATACACATAATATTCCACAAGAGTCCAGTTTGTAGTGACAGAAACAGAGGTTGCCTAGGGCTGGGTGGGAATATGCTTCATGGGTGCAGAGTTTTAGTTTTATACAGTGAAAAGAGGTCTGGACATGGACAGTAATAATGATCATAAAACAGTATAAATGTCCCCGAAATGTGTACTCAGAAATGGTTAGGCAGTGCACTTCATGTGTGTCCCACCACTGGGCGGGGAGGTGACCCTGCCTGAGGACTGCTGGGGAGCAGTGTAACTGGGGGGCCAGGGGCTGATGCCAGAATGAGATGGTTTCTCATTTTAACAGTTGCAAGGGGGAATGTCCAGGCTCCTGTCGCCCTCTTTTTAACATGCACAGATCACTTGGCACTTCTGCCTTAAATGACCCAAATCTCACTCATTCTTTTTTTCTTTTGTCAGAAACCAGGCACAGGGTCAGAAATTTTCTAAAAACTCTAGATCAGTTATTATGCTTATATCATCACTGAGCAGTTAAAAATTAGCCAAAATATTTTAACTTGTTTTCATGACAACCTCATGTAAGACAGGAATATTATAGTACATTTTCACAAATGAGAAAACTGAAGCATAGGAAAGTGAAAGAATTTCCCCAAATTACACAGCTAATAAATTGTAGAGCCAGTTTTCAATCCAGGTAGTCTGGTAAAACATCAAAGTGGCCTGCCCAGACCCTGAAATCTAAAATCTTTAGTCCTCATTTAATCTGATTGAGTAAACAAAGAGAAACAGATTTCTTTCCTGTGGGAATTCTCAGCTGTTTAATTTTCTAATGTGCACTGAGATTCTTTAACATTGAAGGAGGGATACAATTAGTATGCAACCTTGCTTCAACTCATTCAGTCACTGGTTTTTTTGTTTTGTTGGGTTTTTTTCATGCAACATCTTAAGGAACTTGGACTAAATTTTGTTAAACTCTGCATGGACTACACAGTGTTGTTTCAATCTGGTTTGTCCTAGAATGTAACCAGTTATTTTGGAAAAGAACTAGAATTCTAAATTTTTGCATTGAGCTACATCCCAGACCTTTTCATTTTAATTTTAAATTTGAGACAAGGACTTGCTAAGTTACGAAATTGCTTCCTTGTACCGTCATCCTGCCTCACCCTTCCAGAGTGCTGAGATGAAAAGTGTGTGTCACACCAGACTTGACTAGAATCAAGAGTTTTTATCAGAATGGGCATGTGCCCAACTAAAAATTTTTGTTACTATGAAACTAGGAAAAGAAATTTTGTCAGAGAACTCTCTTTGCTACTAAACACTTATTATGTATTTATTGTTGGTATTGGTGGTGGTTTTTGGCGTGGAGGCCTGAAACTTGCAATCCTCCCACCTCAATTTCCTGAGTAGCTGGAACTGCTTAACAACTTCTAAGCTGTGAATTTTCACAAGTTTACTTTATAAGACTCACTTTGTCAGCTTATGAATGAATCCAACATATGAACAATTCTCCAGAATTCATTAGGAACTCATTACTTTACAGGTATGTGCCCCTGAACCTGGCTAATTATAGATTCTTCCAGGTGTTTTGCTTTTCCTTTCTTTTCTTCTCTTTCTTTCCTTTTTTTTTTTTTTTTTCCTTTTGTGAGACAGGGTCTCACTATGAAATTCAGGCTGGGCTTGAGCTCATTTTGCAGCCCAGGCTGATCTGGAACAAGCAATGATCCTCCTGCCTCAGCCTCGTGAGTGCTAGGATTGCAAGCGTGTGCCACACACCCAGAGAGGAGGATTTTGGAAGTTTTTTTACTACTCTTTTTTTGGTATCAGGATTCAAACTCAGGGCCTTGGGCTTGCCAGGCAGATACTGTACTGCTGAGCTACATCCCTGACCAAGTGTTTTTCTTGTCTTATACCATTGACATTTCCATTTGCCCTTTTAACATCATTGTTGGAGTTCTTAGTTGCAAGTGATATAAATTTATAGGCTAGTTAGGCAGAAAAGTAACTTTTAAGGGGCAAGAAGCAACTATTACAGTTCTGGAAGGCAGGATAACTAACTTGGATTTTAAATTATTCTTGACAATCCAGAATTGGTCCCCTGTACTGCCATTGCCTCTGGGTAAAACCCATGGCTTGGGCTGGGGATTTAGCTCAGCGGCATAAGCACCTGCCTGGCAAGCAAGAGGTTGTGAGCTCAATCCCCGGTACTGCAAAAAAAACAAAACAAAAAAAACCCCACCTGGCTCGCAGGTGTGACTGACTGATGCTACCATGACTGGCTTCACAGCACACCATCTGTGTATCACATAGGGGCCCTTCTTCTGGGCCTTTGTCTTAATGCTCTGATGGAACAAGAAACCCTACATTTTCTTTTTACACCGGGACCCCTAGATTACGTGGGGTTCTGGTCATTGGCTGCTACTGCAAAAGCCGTTGTCTGGGAAGCCAGGTCCTGACACAGCAAGGAACCTATCTCTCACTCCTCAGTCTTCAGTTCTTTGTGTCCTTGATGAAATAATTCAGTCAAGATACATAGGCAGCTGTGCAGAAGTCTAGGTAGAATTTATTGTAAAATACATACAGAGAGTTACGCCCTAGCCCCCTAGCCGCACTGGTGCAATTCTAGATACATTTTATAGATACAGAAATTGTTCCTGGGGCTCAGGGGACCAGGATTCTTAGGATGCTTATCCACAGTTTACTGAGAAGTTATGTTGGAATTGCAAAATGTGTTGCTGTCCTTTATAGATGAATAGCATTTCCTTGGGAGCTTTAATCATGTAAGGAATTAATGAAAGAGAATTTGAGAAAGCTATGTTCTTGCTTTAAACCAGGTCCCAAGGCAAGAGACTCTTAAAGACCTTTGCTGTGGGAACCAGGAGTGCTGTATCCTTTGTTTTGCAGTTAGACAGCAGGGGACCAGGTGTCAGAACTGGGCTCAAAGTGTCATCTGAAGATGCCACCGTGCTCTGTGGGGTTGCATTGGGTCTGAGACCTAAGGAATGGTTATAAATGTGTTATACTCTGATGCCTTTTTTTAACTTAATGGTTATGCGTGCTGCTTTGGACTCCTCTTTGTCCCTCAGGCCCAGTTGTATCTGAGACCTGCCTGACAGCTGTGACCTTTGGAAACTAGGTGAAGCTGCTCCTGTTGCTGTAACCTCACCGGAAGAGATTTGGTGTCTCTACTGTTACTCACCTGTTTCCAGCTCAAGATGTGGGACTCATGCCTTTGATCTGCAGCATGTCCAGCTACAATGGCTGGAAAAGCAAGGTCTGGGATTTGGGGGTAGCAGAAAAACTGTCTTTTGTAAGGTGGAAGGTGATCCTCCAAACATGGGAAGTAGGTTGCTGGCAGAAATGAGTGTGTATAGTCAGTTTTCCATCTCTGTAACAAATACCCAAAGTAATCAATTTAAAAAGACAAAAGGTTTCCTTTGATTCATAAGTTTAGAGGTTGCAGTCCCTGATCAGGTGGCTCTCATCTTTTTTTTTTTTTTTTTTCCCCTAAGGCCCTCATCTTTAGGCCTGTGTCAGAGGGCAGCACATCAAACCTGCTCATGCCTTGGCTGGAAGGCAAAGGAAAAAGGTATAGGCCATGTCCTCTTCAAGGGCACAACTGCAGTGACTGGCAGACCTTCCAAAAGGCCCTGCCTCTCAGGTTTCCCCACTCCCAGTAGCACCAAGGCAGGGGAGCCAAGCCCTTGACACACAGGCTTTGGGGGATGCATACTCATACCACAGAGAGGTGTGCTTCTACTTTGGGATGTGTTGCCGATCACCTTTAAAAATTGTAGTAATTTATATTTTAACTAGCAAAACACAAAAGTGCTTCTTCTGTCCTTTCAGTGACTGAATATTATCACTCTTTTCATCAATCTGATGGATGAAAAATTGTGTCTCATTATTTTTTAATTTCTACTTTCTCAAGGATTAGCACATTTCATATGATTACTGGCTACAAGAAAATCTCTCTTTCATGACTTGCTACTCATATCTTTGGCCCATTTTCTTTTTTTCAATTTGTAGGCACTCTGGTTATAGTACAGAGACTCTTTATTAGTCATATGTTTTGGATTTATTCCTTTGAGAATTTTTCTAGTTTTAACAATGTGTGTAATCATATTTTTAAATTAGCTAAATGTGTCTTTTCCTTTATGGTTCCCATTTTGTTATTTTTTACTTAAGAAAGTTTCACTTCCCATTTCTTGTTGATTAGTTACAAAAATTGGTAACAAAAGTTTTATAGGAAGACATTTACAGCCAGGCATGGTAGCCTATACCTATCAACTCTGGAAGCCTGAAGCAGCAGGATTGCAAGTTTGAGCCCAGCTTGAAGAACCTGGTGATTTAGTGAGATCCTGCTTTCAAAAAAAAATTTTTTTAAAGAGGGCTGGGGGTGTAGTTCAGTACAAAGGCCCTGGATTCAATCCCCAATATCACAAAAATAAGACATGTGAAACCTACAGTGACCCAAAGCACTTTATTCTATCCTGGAAAAGTCACCAAGGACTTTTGCCATTTCATTCTGCAAATGAAGGATAATAACATCTCTCCTACCTACTTCCCAAGGTTGCTGTAAAAGAAGTAAAGGGTATTGAAAAGTGTAAATATGGGTTACAGGAATATGTTATTATTATAATGTGCGTCCCCTCTTTACTTGAAAGGTAATGTGATGAGGGAAAGATCAGCAGATTAAGAAGTCCTGTGCCACCAACTAATCACTCTGCCTTTGTGCAGCCTGCTTACTTTCTATGAGGCTATTTCATCATTCTTAAAGTGAAAAGGTTGGTCCCTGAGTTTGTTTGTTTGTTTGTTTCTTTTTTTCCTTCCTTCCTTCCTTCCTTCCTTCTTTTCTTTGTTTCCTTCCTTCCTTAGAGATCAAACCTAGGGAAGCACTTCACCACTAAGCTACATCTCTAGCCCCCTTCCAGCTTTCAGCATCTAAAAACATCATAGCAAAATCACTAATAAAAAGTTATATAGCTGGGCAGTGGTGCAAGCAGCAGGTGCGCCAGGGAGGAAACAAGTCCGTGTCTCCAGTGAGCCTGAGAATCAAATGTCCCATTCCATACACACCCCTAGCGATGGGATGGTGTCAAGGACAGCCGGAGTTGATAGCAACTAAGGCACATGAAGCAACTAAGTGCTTGTATTGTTGAATTGATTATGCAGGCCTGTGGCCAGAGCTCTGAGCATCTCTTGGGAGGATGACTGTATGCAATAGAGCAAATATGGGGGATTTCCTTCTAGCTTCTCTTTGAAGGCAAATATTGTTTTCACTGCTTTTCTTTGTTCCGTTTAATTGTTTTGCTCTATTCAGTGTGCTGTTTTGATAGGTTTTATAATGTTCCTTTTTTTTGTCTTTTTTTTTCATTTTTATCAGTACCGGGGATCAAACTCATGACTGCCTGTTTGCAAGGCAGGTACTTATGCCGCTGAGCTAAACCCCCAGCCCCTAATGTTCCATTTTTGGTTTGATTTTGCTGTACCCGATTGAATGGACAACTACTGTGAAGATAACAAGATATATTATGGTACCTATTACTGTTATCCTGGTATCCTGCTCTGAAGTTCTGTACCAATTTCATTGCATTGTCTTGATTGGCTTTGTTCTGTCTTGTTTTGTTGTATTTTACTACCTTCCAAATTTTTTTAAAAAGTTATATAGCCATCTTTTTATATTTCAGGTATATTTGTAAGATCAGGCATAGAGAATGGATTAGATGCAACTGTAGAAGTCCCCTGCAACTGGTAAGGTGAGGTATCACTGTGGATTGGACTAGAGCAGGAACAAAGGATATGGAGGGCAAAGAAGTCATGTTTAAAGGCCTCAATGATCATTTGACCCTCCTAGGAGTGTTTAAGTCTAAGCACTCATATGATAGACAGAGGTGAGTACAAACGCTTTAGTAACAAAATGTAGTCAGGGTTTACAAGGGACACATAATTTATAGGATTATTTTATAATATTCACTTAAAAAGCTAAATGCAAAAGAGTGCAGGAGATCTGTCCACACACTAAAGACTCAAACAATCCCACTGAAGGCTGAGATCCCATGGCAATGTCCTGTATGAACCCAGCTGAAGACCTAGAGCCCACAGCAGGGTCCTCTATGAGTCCACAACAGTGTTTCATGCAGTATCAAAGATCTGCAAAGGACTTGCAAAGGTGGAAGCTGCAAAGTCTGTGCCAGTGGATGAAGGATCTGTGCCAGCAGCTGAGGGACCTACACTGGAGCCAGGGAGCAGTGCTCAAGGCAAGGACCACCGCTTCTCCCAAAAGAACCACAGCCACCCCCAGTGACAGTAAGGATCTGAGCTCCTCTGATGATGAGAATAGTTGAGCCAGTGTGACAAGCTTCTCCAGGAGATTCAACAGCACCATCTTCCCCTCTAGTTCTCCATTTTTGCTGTTGGCAACAATCCTCAGGTGAGCCTTCAGTTCCACTGGGTGTTACAAGTTGACCATTAGTTAATTCACCACACAAATCCAAAGTTAATCTTCCTATTTTCCATCCTGACCCAAAATGTTTCTTCAATTTTCTATAAGATTCTCTAGTGCACACCAGTATTTTGAGATGAAATGGCTCACAAATTACTAATTACATTAAGATATGTAGGGGGCAAAAATGGCATATTACATATGACCTAGCCTTGTTCTTAGGTGTCTACCTTACATTATGAGGAGAAGTGGGGAAATTTTTAATTGCTTAGGTAAAGTTACCATAATTTTTGCTTATTTAAGTAACAGTAATGATTGTTTCTAAAGATGACCAGAGCAGTATCTCCTTCCCATCCCATTGCAATGTGGCCTGGACTTCAAGACATAGAGTAATGCCAGCACCCTAGGAGGCTGAGGCAGGAGGACTGCACATTTTAAGCACATTTTAATCTGGGCAATTTACAACTTCATGAGATCTAGGGATAGATAGCTCAGTGGCATAGCACCTGCCTAGCAAGCATGAGGTCATGAATTTGATCCCCAGTACCAAAAAAGAAGGGAAAAAAAACAAAAAAACAAAAAAACTTAAGAGTCCTTGTCTCGAAGTAAAAAATGAAAAAAATGCTGGGAGTGTGTAGTTCAGTATAAGGGACCTGGGTTTCAATCCCCAGCAGGAGAAAGGGCAGCGGGAGAGAAATTTTGTTGTTCATTTGAATCTGGCTTGGCTCTGTGACCTATGTTAGCCAACACAATGGGGAGGAAGTGCTAGTATGTAACTTTAAGGGCAAAATTTTAACACATTTCTAGTTTTTGCCTTCACTGACTAGAGTATCCTTCTCCAAAGTCAGTTATCATGTAAGAAGTCTGTCATGTTGGGGCTGGGGATTTAGTTCAGTGGCATAAGCTCCTGCCTTGCAAGCAGGTGGTTGTGAGTTCGATCCCTGGTACCGATAAAAAGATTAAAAAAAAAGAAGAAGAAGAAGAAGTCTGTCATGTTGCCACAGAGACGGGATCCTGGAGGAATCAAAGCTATTTTGAATGGTCCAGCTTCGGTCAGGCTCCCATCACAACAGCCCTGACCGAGTCCCTGCCAGCCAAGAGAACCTTAAAAAACAAATGATTATTTAAATTTTTTTTTTTTTTTGGTCTTTTTCCTTTGTATCGGTACAAAAGGGGATTGAACTCATGACTGCCTGCTTGCAAGGCAGGCGCTTATGCCACTGAACTAAATCCCCAACCACCCCCCCCTTTTTTTGTCTGATTATTTTAAAATTTAATGTGGTTATACAACTAGTTTATTACACTTACAGAGTCTGTGGACCAAGACTTTGGAAAAGGCATAATGGGGCAGCAGAGGTTCCCAGTTCACTGGGACTTCACCTGGGAAGACCTGGAAGTGGGAGGTGACCTGAGAGTTGGGGGCCGAATAACATGATCTCAGCAAGGGGTGCCAGCAGGACCCAACACACAGCTTCTCCTTGAGGTTCCTGCTCCCTCACATTCACATGGCTGGACTCCCAGGAGAACAAAGTGGAAGATGTATCACCTTTTATTGACCTTATATCACTTCCATCTTAGTCATAGACTCACTCAATTCAGGAAGGAGGGCGAGCCCGGAGTGACGGGCATTCCTGTAATCCCAGTACTTAGGCTAAGGCAGGATTTCCAGGCCAGCCCAAGCTATGTAACAAGACCCTGTCTCAGAACAAAACAAACAAATGAAAGACAAAAGTATGAGCTCATCAGTCTGACAAGTTTACTAGAACAAACTTGAGCGAGACACCCCCCCCACACACACACACCTAGACCAGCCCAGCGAATCTTTACAGGCTATGAGGTCTTTCTTAGGGTCATGAGCATGAGGAGGGGCAGTGAAAGCAAAAGTTCAAAATGAGGCTTTCAAGGGGAAGAGTTCAGTGAAAAGGAGCTGTGGCTACCTGCCAGGGACAAGGCTTGAGAAAGTGCAGAGTGTGATGGTTGCCTGCTAAGAACAAGGCTGAAGAATGCTGGGCCTCATTAACCCGTGATTCTACATCTTTAGCAGGTGTGAAAGCATGGCTGGCTGGAAGAGGCTTTAGGTGGCCTCTGGTCAGCCTAGCATGGTGGCAGTCTGACTCCCTCAATAACTAAAACCAAGATACAGGTGTAGAAGTTATTTAGGCCTTGTAGGCAAAGGCTTGCTCTTTCGTGGTTCCTCTGCCCTGTGGCAGGTTGGATTTTTCACAAGGATTGTTACAAAATATCCCACACCACATACTTTTCTTAAATGTGATGTGAAAGCCAAATGCAGCAGCATTTGCCTATAGTATCTGCTCCAGAGGCTGTGGCAGGAGGGTCACCGGAGCCCAAAAGGTCCAGGATAGCCTGGGCAACACTGCTATACCCTATCACAAAACAAAAATAAAAACAAAAACCATATGGGATTGACACTCCTCCTTCCAGCTCTAGCCTCACCTTCAGGTTTCACTGGAATATTTGAGAGTGTGCTGCCCAGGTGTAAAAGAGACCTGCTGTGTCCAAGGCAGGAGTTAGTATTGCTGGCATCCGAAGGCCCCCCTCCAGCAGTTTCCCCACTGCCTCACCTTGTAGCAGATTGCCAGGCAAAATCCATCCCTTCCACGGTAACCTGGGACTCATGATCTCTTATTTGGCTTGAACCTCACAGCCGACTGCTCCAAGTACTGCAGGACAAAGTGCACCGTGTGTAGCACTGGTTTCAAGGGAGGCCCCAAGTGTAAAGGGCTGGGTGGACAATCCGTGTAAATGACCCGGTTTACACCTAGCTCCATTACTCAGTGATATAATGGGATCTCAAGCTGGCCTCCTTTACAACTTTGTTTTTTTATCTGTAGCACTCTTCATCGGGTTATTAAAAGGACTAAATGACACTGTGAATTAGTCTGAAACAAAGCAAGTGTAAAATGTCATTATGATTGGAAAGTGGTTATCAGCAAATTAAAGATCTGGAAAATTACTTAACTAAAGAGAACTGCCGTTCACAACAAGCTGTTGAAATCAGAACTTCCCTGGCTTATACGTTCATGGAACGTTTACCAATAACGCATCTGTAAGTTGGGGAACACGGGATCAGAGTGCAGACGGCGTGAACGCGCGCGCAGGGTGCAGATCCCTCGGGGCAGCGCAGGCCGGGTCTCCAGAGCTCGTAGACCACGGCCCGTAGCTGCCCTCGCTGGCCTGCGCCACGCCCTTCCTGCGCCTTCCTGCGTGGGCGGCCCAGCACGGTCTCCCCAGGCCGGCCGCTCGTCTAGAAATGAGATCAGCACGCTCGCCTTCCGGTCCTGACTCAGCACCGCTTACCGGAAAGGCCTCTGCGGGGCGGGGCTAGAGGCGGGAAGGGGCGGGGCTGCCTGCAGAGCCGGGGCGGGCGGGGCCGGGGCTGTGGAGTTTCCTTGGTTTTTGAGAAAATCTAGGTTTTTTGTTTTTTTTTTTTTTTTTTTTTTTTTCAGGTCACAGGCCACAGGCTTTCCCGCCTTGGCTTTGCGAAGCTGGCCTAGGTTCAGGGTTGGTGTCCAGGTCTCGGGTCACTGGGGCCCTGGATGTGAGTAGCGCGCTGCCCTGCAGATCGCAGCCTGGCCGGGCCGCCCCATTCTGCGGGAAGGAAGTGGGAACTTTTTAGGTCAGCTAAACACGTTAGTTTTGGTTTGGTGACGTGGGACTTTAGCATGAAAGACTCCGTTTTGACTTGGTTAGTTGATTTTAATACAGAAGGGTTAGTCCGAAACAGTAGTCTCCTACGAATTTCATTTTACTGTGATTACTTAAACTTGTAACATCCGTGGGAAACTGTGGCCTTGTTTACTCTCATAAACTCTGGATGGTCCTGGCCCAACTGGGTGGTACAGGCCCATCACTCTATTTCTTTGTATTCGCCATAAGTCCTGAAATATTCTGACCAGCAGAATGAATTTTTTTCAAGGTCTATGGAGCTCTGAGGAATTTGCCCTGTCCTCTTCCTTAGGGTCTCCCCAAGTTACCAGTTTTTGCTTAGAACAGAGCTAGTAGAGTGGGCAGTCTGGGAATGCTAGGGTGGCTGGTCTGAGACGAAAGTGAAGGACAGGAATTAATTATTCCGGGCTGGAGAAGAAGTGGGGCTGCCAGGGGAGCTACAGTTATTCCTTCCCTGCTCTAT